TGATAACTACAAAATGGCACTCAAAAGAAAACGGACTAACATTTTCCAAAATAAAACAAGCGAGCTTGCCTGAAGGAGTACACTGACTTGAGTAGCAGTAGCAGCAGCAAAAACCGTGTAAACAAAACGGACTCAAAAAACTAACACCAACACTTAAAATATAACATTAACTGCGGAGTTTTGGCATACTAAAACATTAAATTATGCAGCCACACAAAAACACACAGAACGAGATAAACCGACCGTCACTGATAATTCCCACTGCATTCTGTTTGGTCGCTAAAAAATGCGAAACGGAGTTGAGTCTAACCGCAGCCTGTTTAACTGGCTCTGCAGTCTTGTTGTTACCTGTTCCAGAGGCTAGTATAACGTGTAACAAAGAATGACGAGTTTTATCAATTTAATGCTTTCTAAACTGCTATTGTAAACTCTTGATTTTGGAAAATCTTATTACATAACAATTCATAATGGTCTCATTACGCAAAATTTTGCAAAGAAAAGTAGAACTAGGTTTAGCCTATCTGCGCCACGAGAGATAATATTTCCACATTTATGATTTACATTTGTAACATCGATCTGCATTGAGGAGTCTCACAGATTATCACTTCTATCGATCTCCAGTAGGCCTGGCGCACATATGAATCTAGTCATGACAAGCCACTATTGTTTCAGCAGTTAATTGCAGATATTGTTAACCTTGGCGCTATACGTATTATACCGTCTTTTGTTAGCATTGTTGTTTTAATGCGTTTGTGCCATAAGCATTCCTTCCGGTTTACTTCAATCCTCGCGCTGATCTTGAGCTCTGTTTGCTTTAATTTGACACTTTTTCTGAAATGTTTGTCAACAGTATAATTCTGATTGGCTCACTCATGTCTGTCAAATTTTTGTCACTCTTCTCAGAAGATTAACCTTGTTACTGGTACATCCTCACAACTGATTTGTTGGTCATTATGCATTATAGCGAGGAAACTTATTTTCAAGGAGTTGTGAATGAATTAAACCTCTCTGAATCGTTTGAATCTCGAAATACAATGTTGCTTTGTATGTCTTACAATAGTTATCCGCTTACGGTGCGGAGTGCCTGAACACTCGCAGCTCGAGTTTTACTATTCCAGAGATGTCTCTTACTTCCTAAAAGGATTTTTTAACTTCTGTGCTACCAGAAATTTTCACACACTGAAATCCAAGAAAACGTAGTGCCAAGTGTGTCAAGTGACGGTAGTGCTTGCAATGCATTCCAGTTAGTTTCAGTTTTTCAAATGACCTGAGGCGTCACTTTGGTTATCTGTCTTCATTGAGTTCCTGCAGACAACCAAGCATATATTGTCACTGAGTTTTTCCTCTTTCCTGACATCATAATTACTGGAAACTGTTCTAAGTACATATTAAAAACGTTATTTCCAATGATTTTTTATGCGAAATTCTCTTGAAGAAAGTTATAGTTTTGCTATGACGACTCCGTAGTAGAATGACTAAAAATAAGTCAGTTAAGCAATTAATAATATACAGATTATCGCTACCATTTAAATATTAGATTGTTAGGTATGGAATGTTAAAGATATATGTGATCACGATATTCCTCGCAAACATCTTCATAGACTTCCGATGGAATTAACGTTATTGACCGCCAACTTAGGAGATTTTTGACAGTGCTCGGATTTTTCTAATTTGGACATGAATAATGTAACCTCCTAGCTTCCCTTAAAGTCATACCACACGGTTAATATCTAACATGAGTTACCCTTTCGTCTTATCCAGATACAGTAGCTATTCTAATTACTGCATGTGGCAAAAATGACGTCATTGCATGGATGTGATAGTAACCACAGGTTGAAGTATAGAGTATACACCACCGCATAGGCAACTCCACGGTGCACAGTCGATGAATGCGCACTGTTTATTTTTCATCTTGACGAGACTTGACGGCTTATTTTACATTTTACTAACTGCTTGCTGGGCAGTTTGGCTATAACTCTGTGATATTTTAGTGGTCCCACGACAATAAACTACAACTAATAAGACATCATTTTAGTGTACAGTATTAATGAATACAGTAAAAATACGCTATATCTCTTATATGCTTAGAAACTGCGACGTTCCAGAAAGCGAATGATAGCGGCTGCACATTGTTTTGAGTCTTTATTCTGTCCGACTGACTTTTAACTACAAGTGTGGTTCAACAAAAATAACTTCTAAGATCATTCCTTTTCTCACAGTTTATTAACAGCATACCTCTAGAATCTCAAACCTTCCTATACGTAAAAGTTAAGGAAAAACAATATGTTGTACTCACTTCTCAGACATCAGACATAACTAATAATTACTTCTCTTATTGTGCTCAGCAAATTCCAGTTTGAATGCTTTGAAAGCCTTCCTTTTGAAGTAAAGGTTACTATAACAAGAAGTTGTTATTCATGTGCCAAGGATTAATTTTTGATAATCATGATGTTGATTTCGACGTAAAAACAATTTTCCAACGCTTATGAACTTTGTTGAAATTCATCGATTACTTCACAACAGTCTAAAACACAAGGGCATACCAAAAGGCATCATCAAAAAGCAAAGTATATGATAAATGTTTTTAGGAAGTGCTTTTCAAATAGTCAGGTCTTGGAAGCAAACGCCACCAAGGCCTGTTTAGATAGGCCGTTCTCCCTATAAGTTTTATATGCCAATGCTCGTGGTCTAAGAAATAAATTTCATGAACCAGAAGCATTAGTGGACAAGCCAAAGCCACTCATTGTAGCTACGACGGAAACTTGGTCAGTCCATGACCTCGACAATACTCCAAAATGATCGGGATATCACTATCTAAGAAGCAGTAGACACAGATAAAGGGAAATAGGTGGCGTCCTTTAATACATAGCCAATAATAAACATATCCGCTCTTTTGCTTGCGAATCCCATGATAGTGAAGCTTGTGAAGTCATTAGCTACGAGCTGGCTATTGGATGTTGTACATTTATACTCGGTGTCATCTATCTCAGCCCAATCTGCTTAGCTGGTGACTTTATTTTAGAGCACATTCAGCTATGGAGTGTAACTAGCAAATGCTTTATATTAGGAGGCTTTAATGCACTTGGTATTAGTTGGACTAAGATGGCCGTGGTAGGTTCTACAAACGTCTTTGATAAAGGTTCCCGATAACGGTAATGATGTATGCATTAGTGCAGAGTATCCAAACCCACAAGTTTTAGTGCAAACCAAGGTTCTTCCTTGTAAGACTTGGTAACCACTCATGTGACTGAGGACATTGTCAAACTAAATATTCTTTCACCGTTAGTGAATAGCGACCACGCTGTTTTTCCTTTCACGTTTAGAGCCAGTGACATGATATACGATCACTTTATGCCTCACCCAAAATTATGGCGAGTTAACATATCAGCCATTCAGGAGTGCGCTGCTAAGGCAGATTGGTTGGTAGATAATAGCTCATTAGTTGAAGAAGCATGGTCAATTTTTAAAGACAAGGTTAGTTCAGGTAAGTCATCGTTTATACCATGCCTGGTACCACATAGACCGAATAACTGGCTGCGGCGAAAGATCGAAATACTACTTTAGATGTAGTTTTTATATATCTAAGTAAAGCCCTCGATAAGGTCTTCCATTCGGGTCTTGAATTAAAACTGGAAAATTTTGGAATCCATTATAAGGTCATAGACTGGATAAGCGTCTTTCTCCATGACAGGAGACGGATGGTAAGTGTAAATGAAGCTCTCTCATCATGGGAATCTGTATAAAGTGTAGTTCCTCAAGGTAAAATCCCCGGTCCTCTTCTCTTTTTACTTTATGTAAATGGATCATCAACTGTAGCAAAGTCATCCGTTCTACTCATCGTCAATGACAGAGATTTGGAGACCCATACACAGTATGTCATATAGGATAGTATTACAGGAAGATCTCAACTCACTGGCGGTATGAATGGACAGATGGTCACTAAAAGTGAATTCTTACAAGAATATGGTGATGCAACTAGATAAATATGACGATTCATATCACCACACAACGCACGGATTCAGGTTACCCAAAGAAATGCAACACAAAGATTTAAGAGTCACAATAAGCAAAGATCTCAAAAAACGATTAACTGTAAGGCTGCTGCCACAAAAGACTATAGGGCTATTCGTAGGTATTTTCAGTATTTGGATGAATAAATTTTTAGGTTATTGTACCCGACTTTCGTGAGACCTCATTTGGAATATGAAACTCAAACAGCAAGTGCTTGTTTCACCTATGACATGGGTACGTTGGAATGAGTCCAATGACGGTGGACTAAATTGGCGAAAGGCTTCTCTTGCCTATCTTAGAAAACAGACGAAGACATCAATTTATCTTACTGTAGAATACAGGGTGATCTAATATTGGCTTGAAGGTGATACAGGTATTCGGAGTTTGACAACGATTTAACCAGCAACAACTTTTAATATGAAGCGTACACAACAAGTGAAACCAAAAGACAGAAGCGAGGAGGTTCGAAGATATTTTTGATGGGCTATCAATATATCGAGGATCGTCTGATCTAATCTGGCTAGCGATTGCAGGGTTTGTTGAGCACGGCTTTCCCATTCGTGATCTGGTGCGGATGCATGTTGAGCGCCTTCAGTTAGGTGTGTCCATTAAAACTGATGTGGTCAGCATCCAATGTCAAAAGCCTACAGAGCTATTTATTTTGGGGATTTATATACCGCTACAGGCTCATCGTATACTGGATGATGACCTTTGCGTTAATACCTTATCTTTCCCTTCCACTTAGGACTGATCAATTGCGAGGACATTCAAAGAAAGTTCAGAAACTGAGATCAAATTGTCTGCGTCTGAAGTTTCCTCTTCGTACCGAGTACTGAATTACTGAAATTCTCTACCAGAAAACGCATTATCAGCACCTTCTGTTGATATATTCTAAACGAGATTGAACTTCCGCAGAAATAGAAAGCACAAGAATGGATATAGGTCGAAATACCTATCCTTATTACTGAAGACTGAAAATTGAGGATTGCCCGCCTTGAACAAAGATTCAAGGTTGGGGAGGCATATTTGACCTGTGCACACATCCATACTAATACCTTGATTTCCACAATAATGTCATTAGTCCGTCTTACCTCCTGTCCAGCTACCACTTTTAACCGGTTTTTTTCGCTCATATATCGAAGTCCCAAAAACTATACTTTGTGTTCTCACAGGGTTTTTAATGACAGAATTTTAGTTTCCAGAAAACTTTCTCAGAAAGCCGAGGTTATTGGTCCTGAAGTCACAATAAAAACCCATATAGATGGGTCTCGTCCAAAATTTATAGTCACGTATGACGAGTTAAGCTCTCAGCTTTCCAAAGGAACTGTCCAGCTGTTTGATGTAAGGAGTGGAGATGATGTGGAATCCACTGGCAGGATCCCGGGTTCCGTTAATATACCCCGTAAGTATTTTGGTAACATTTTAACTTTTCAGTCACTGATTTAAAGAAAGCTCTTATTCTCAGTGACAGTGAGTTTCTTCAAAAATATGGTGTATCAAAGCCGAAGACGAGCGACAATAACATAATATTTTATGGATTGTCGGATGTGTCATCAGCAAGTGCCTGTGAAATAGCCCACAGTATGGGCTATAAAAGGTTTGCTATGTATATAGTTTCGTAATTTGTATAGGGCGAAGTATTATTTGAATGGATGGACGGAGTGGTCTGCGATGCATAAAAAGTAAACAGCAACAAATTTAGTACTTCTATATACGATGGTGTAAATAATCCACAATAAACTTAAAAACAGTTCGAGCCATAGACTGATTTTGCAAAATGGTTCTCATTCGCTGAGTTTATTAGTTCACTTATTTCACTTTGCATTTTCACATTGTACTTAGTTTTGCTGTAAAACGCATACATTTATGTTGTGTAACGTCAATCTCATCCTTATTACAAATAGTTTGTCCACGGCGAGTGGTGTTTTTTAGTTGGCCTGAAATAAATGTTGGTGTGGTTAGATAAATTAGTTCCATTATAACAACAGTGCCGTTTTTCTTGTGGATGTGTACTGTTGTCTGGTGCTATTCCTAATTAGAAGAGCAGAAGATTAGAAATAGCTACGTAAGTGATGTTCATTTTCTGACTTTTGAACGTGTAGATATCGCGCTTCATCATATGTGAAACATCACATCCGTTGTATTATTTTGTCACCAGAATTTCTCAACTAGCCAACCACATCTCTTAGGTTCGAAAGCTGCATACATAGACTAATTAACCGTTGTGTATAGGAACACCACCAACATGTGCTTTTGCATATCCTACCAAAAATGTTGTTGAATAATTACTGTCCAGTAAGCTTGTTCCCAATGTGAGAATTAAGTATTAGTCCCATCTGAAATATCAACAGTATATCGGTCTAGCAACATCTGCTAATTGAGTGTCTCAACTTATGTTCTTAGGTAAGCCTCAGGTCATTGGTTTTTACTTTTTCTGATAACAGCAGTTCATAGTCTTCCGCACTATAACAATGCACTTGTTTTCAATTAGATCGATTAGTTTCATTAGTGATAGTACTTTAATAAAACGCAAGTTTCTGCTATTGGTTAATAAGTAGACCACCCAGTACATTCGTAGGTACTGATAAATATGTATTTTATTTATATATTTGAACACATAAATATTGGTACAAGGGGGCACCAAATATATATGCGCCACACAAAACAACCAGAATGAGAAGAGAAAAAAAGAAGGTAGGGAGCGTAAAATAAAAAAAACAAGAGAACAATAACGACCACACATTAGTGCACGGAAGTGAAACAACAATAGTAATAATAATAATCGGGGGACCGGAAAGGTACAACCAGAAGAATTCTTTCAGTTAAGGAAGATACAACCACTTTGTATGAAGAAAATAAAGGAAGGTTACATCAGGATCGCCACTGCCTTCTATTCTGAGCCATATCTGATAACGTCTCTAGCCACTGTGTTGCACCATCGCTCAGACCCCAACCAGGGAGTCGTGAAGGACCAACAGAAGCCAGCCCTTCGCAGCTTTCTTTTATACCCCGACACCATGTCATACACTGACCACCTCTCCGCTTTTTCCACTCAGTCCCAGCGTCTGCAAATAATGCACGACATTCGTAGAACATGTCCAAGCCACCGAAGTCGATGTTTCGAGATGGTGACACCAGTTGTATTATCGTCTCCGCGCGAACACACGATGCCGAACCTGTACATTACTAACACAAACAGAATGAAAAAAATATGTATTATTGCGAAATCTCTATGCGTAGGAACTTGGGTAGAAGTATAATATGCTGTCGGACTCGTATTAAACAATCAAAATTAAAATGAAACCTCGTGTATTTTAAGCGAATTTAAAGTGCAGTGGTAGCTAACGTGTATTTCATCAGTAACTGGATGAAAGTTGTCAATATTCGGCCTTTACAATGTTTGAAACCAATAAGACATCTATTATGAAATCAAAAAGGGAATTTAGATGGTGCTTAAGCTTTATTTATTTAAAAATAAATATTGGTACAAGGAGGCACCGAATATATATGCACTACACTTCATCATTCGATTTGTGTCAATGCTGGAATACTTCTTGGTGGCGCAAACGGAAGCACGTGGTTTTCTTGAGAAGCCACTTCTTGAACTTTTGACCTCGAAGCCTAATTCACAAGGCAGTGGAGCAACGTGCAGTCCCATGGCAGCTGGTGACCAACAATAGGCTCATAGTCCATTTGTTACCTCGAGAACCTGGAGTCCATGTGCACTTTTGGTTTGGAATCAGGGTTTTCCAATCTCCACAGGTGGGTCGTCCATATCCATACATAACATTACCAGATCCTAGGGTAAATTGTATGGTATGGTACATGCTGTTGTCCAGTGCGTTATCAAGATTGTTTGGTGGAACTGCGTGGTGTTCTTTCCTTATTCACTCTAAATCTCAACCCTAAGTTCCTCAAGTTTGTAAACAGGAAAGTTCCAAGACATTGCATTTTATCTTATGTCAGTTTGTGATGAAAACCCTGACTCAAGTTTTTAAACCTAACTCAAAAGTACAGTTTAATCCTTAGCACCTAACCCTTTCACATTGTAATTAATGTCAGTTGGCGTCAAAAACTCTGTGGTGATAGCCTCAACTCGCAACACTAGTCTGACTCTTAATATGTGTACACATTTGTAAGTTTGGCATTTTCTTCACTACTAGTGGTAGTTTGACTTGTGAGGGTTAATCTATACGACCAAAGCTATTATCCCATTGTTGTCTCATTACTTTGTATTGTTAGTTGTTTTATAACTAGGCATTGTTTCCTGTTTGGTTGCCAAGAACGTAATTATATTTTACTTTTACCGGAATTTGTATTCCCGACATTTCGTGACTTGATGCAAGTCACTTCAGAGTAGATAAATAAATAGCTTCCTACGTAATCCTCAATCTTTTCGCAGGTAAGTTATGACTTATGGATATTTCAAACTAGTATGAAGAAATGGTCAATAGGTTATCATCCACTGAGTACCTATTGTCCGAGTTACATTGAGTGTTTCGCTTAACAAATTACTTGTTAGGCATTTTCACAAAAACCTTTTAAACTAGTTGAGTGACAATAATTTTTCATCTTTGCTGTATTTGATTTTAATCAGCGTTGGGTTTCGTGACTTTTTATCCTGCTAAAATCCCTTTCTTGTAAGTTGTTGCAGTTTGAACTAATACACAATAATGGCTATGGTTAACTGACAGCTGAAGACAGGTTTCCTGAAGAGTCTAAAAGTTGGACTGCATTTTGTTTGTAATCATAAGATGCAGAAGGATGACTGTTTAGCACTATTATCTAGTCCTGTCGTTTTAACTAATACACCACTCATTAAAGCTGTAACTTCACAAACTGACACAAATCTTCAATGACAGTAATGTCTGGTGTTGAACTGTTGTATTATGTATTATTTTGGTGTGTGATCTAAATTAAGTTAGGAAGCTTTACTATCTACTAGACAGTTTGCCAAGAACGTTTATTAAATCATATACGAGAAATGTTAGGAGGAGAATTCAAAGAGCTGTTGGTGGGATGTTGGAAATATGAAGCATTGAAGGGACATCTAGGTTAGAATTTTGACAGATCTATCATTACTATTTAAGCGTCATCAGGCTTGATGCAGAAGTAAGGTTATTTAGCAGTCATTTTCTCATGTTTGAGTTGTAATCATAGCAACAGTGTGATCTATTGTTAAGGCGTCACTTAGATTAGTAATGTCATTATGAGTATGTAAACGGGCCAGAAACGAAGAGGCAATTGGGATCGATAAAATAAAGCACAACCTTACATACTTACGCCTGTTACCACCAATTGAGCATAAGCCGCCGGTCAGTATTCTTCAACCTCCTATGTCCTGGGCTTTCTTTTCTAGTTCTATCCAACTGTTGTTCATCCTTCTCATGTCCGTCTCCATTTCACGGCGTATGTTTTCATCTTCTCATTGTGGTCCCAAGCGAGGACTCTCCTTGTGACATAGGGGGGTACTTTCGCCAATGTATGTCCTATACACTTCCCGATTTCTTCCGCACTGGAGTCTGGTTTGTTCCCTCCCTCCACAGTAGGTTGTTGCTGATAGTGTCTAGCCAACAGATCTGAAGTATTTTGCGTAGACAACTGTTAAGAAACCTTGCTTGACACCGGTCTTTACGTCGAACGAATCTGCGAGCTGCCCTTCATGCACGATTTTGCAGTTTAATCCATCATAATAATTCCATATAATGTTGACTATCTTCTCAGGCACGCTGTAGTGTCAAAGAAGTTTCCATAGTGTTGCCCTGTCAACTCTATCAAATGCTTTCTCGTAGTCAATGAAGTTGATCCAAAAACGTGAATTCCATTCAATCAATTTTTCCAAAACGATCCATAGTGTTGCGATTGGGTCGGTATATGATCTATCCTTATGAAATTAAACCTGTCGATCTAGAAATTGGGCGTCTACTAAGTCCTTCATTCTGTTTAGCAACACCTTGTTGAAGACTTTTCCTGGTACTGAGCGAGTGATGCTTCTGTAATTCTCACACTTGCTGAGGTCGCCTTTATTTGTTATCTTGATCTGGTGTTCTTCTTTCCAGTCTGTTGGTGCTTGTTCTTCATCCTAAATCTTGCTGACGAGAGTACGGAGTATCTTTGCAGCTACTGCTACGTCTGCTTTCAGTGCCTCTGCTGGAATGTTGTCTGGTCTTACTGCTTTGCCACTGTTGATTTATCTGATGGTCTTGCTGATCTCTCCAATTGTTGGTGGGACAACATTGATTGGGAGGTCCGTGGGTGCTGCTTCGATGTTGGGTGGATTCAGTGGGGCTGGTCGATTCAAGAGTTCCTTAAAGTGTTCTACCCACCTGTTTCGTTGTTCTTCAATGTTGATGATTACCTTGCTTTTCACTGGTCGTTCTGGTTTACGGTGATTTCCAGAGAGTTTCTTTGTTGTGTCATACAGTTCTCTCATGTTTCCTTCTCTTGAAACATTTTCCACCGTCATTGCTAAATCTTCCACATATTTACGTTTGTCAGTTCTGATGCTTCTCTTCACTTTCTTGTTTACTTCTGTGTATTCAGCTTGTGTCTTGGCTTTCTCTGCTCTTGTTCGGCTGATACTGATTGCTGCCTTCTTGTTCCTCCTTTCTTCAATCATATCCAGTGTATCAGCAGTGATCCATTCATTGTGATGGTGCCTCTTGTGGCCCAGAACCTCATGACATGTTGAAGTGATTGCCTCTTTGATCTCTTTCCAGTTGCTCTCTCTGGTAGTTCCCTCTCCATCGAGTAGATCATGAAAGGCCTGGAACTTGTTGCTGAGGACTATCTTGAATTTGTTGAGTTTGTTAGTATCCTGAAGAAAGGCCGTATTGAACCTTTGTGATATTGTCCGCCCCATTGTCCAGTGTTTCTTGAGTTTCAATTTCATCTTGGCGACCAGCAAGTGATGATCTGACGCTATATCAGCTCCTCTCTTGGTTCTCACGTCCTCTATAGTCCTCATGAACATTTTGTTGATGCAAATATGGTCGATTTGGTTTTGCGTGGTGTGATCTGGTGAAGTCCATGTGGTTTTGTGTATGCGTTTATGTGGGAATATGGTGCCGCCCGTGACCAGCTTATTGAAGGCACATAGGTTTGCAAATCTCTCACCATTTTCGTTCCTTTCTCCCAGTCCATGTCGTCCTATGATGTCTTCATATCCAGTGTTGTCCGTTCTCACCTTGGCATTGAAATCTCCCATCAGAATGGTCAGGTCCTTTGTTGGGCACTTCTCGATGATTGGCTGTAGCCTATCATAGAATTGATTTTCAACGTGTTCATTGCGACCG